TTTCCAACGCAGTCCACGTTCGAAAGATGAAGTCGTATCTATTCTATACTACTCGAACAGGCCAATAACCTGTCATCAATTGAGAAGTCATATCCCAATTGCATGATAAAAAGTTTGTGTCAAATCATCCTCAAGTTTTGTGCATACACCCAATAGGTCTATCTCCTTATCTTTTGGAACATTTTCATCTTCAAAAGATCCTATTTTCAACTGTTGAGAAAATCTTATTAGTACAAAATGAAAGTCCCTTTATTCAAAATCAAATATTCTTAAACTTTTTCATGGCTTCTGAATGGAGCATATTATGGAGCTTATCAAACAATTATGACAAGTCACTGCTATTAAATGCATCACTAGCTTTGACTTTTTAACAAGAAAAATTGACCATGCGAAAAATTGATAGATGTCATAAATGATGTTGTACAAACCAATATAAACACTAATGCAGTACAATGCAATGCAAAGTCCAAAAATTATCATAAAAATTTTGTCCTATTAATTTTCGGTAAAATAATAACACAATTGTTCAACCCGGCCCTAAAGGAAGCTATCAAAAACCGAGAGGGCTTACGAACTCTGCCCACAATTTTGTTTAAAAACTTATTTCTGCTTCGCAAAAGTGGTTTCATTAGTCCATACATAGCTCTCTTAACCAAAAATTGGATTATTGACCAAGATTTGGTTCAAATTTTAGTGTCTTAAGATGATCGTGTCTGCATCGATGACGTCATGTTGTCTCTCTTTGCTTTCTGTAAAGTACAAATAAACATGTCGTTTAAGAGTGAAGTTGTTTATGAACTAAAAATTAATTTTAATTTTTGTAAATTTTGGTCTCATTCTATTATATCTATCCTAAATGCAACTGAAGAGTCTCCGTAAGTTAATTAGTTTTTTTTTTTTTTTTTCATTATTTCTGTTCACATTTGCGGTTGGAAAAATGGTTTGTTGGGGCTATTTTGGCATAGTTTTGAGTGGGATCCCTTCGTTCAATAAGTTGATTCGTGTTCTCCTCCTTGAGAATATCGAGATCATATATTTACTTGCCAAAAATGATATTAGGTGAATGAGAAATTGAATTTCAAAGTGATAAATTGAAAAATGTTTTGTGTTGGAAGGAAAATTATTTTAAGGTTGTCCCTCATAGAAACAAGATAAAGGCAATGGCCACTTTATGTAGGATTAGACTTTAGAAGGGTGCAATTATGTGTAGTATAGAGGCTTTCTCAATGTGCAAGCTCAGGGTGCATAGCATGGATCGAAATTGAACTTGAGACGTTAAACTTGTGTGCAGGCACAACCAGAACATACGAATGCCAAACTGAACGGACCAAAACTTAGGAGGTCTACATTTTGGCTTTATTTCCTAGAAACAAATTGTAGCATTAATGGAGAGATTAACGGCCAAATTAATGGTGCATAATGAGAGAGTAACAGCCGGATTGATGGTGCATAATGGTTGTAACTTCTGGGTTGTTAATATCCATTATAGCCTACTTATACATGTATTTTTTTCTTCATTACATGCACAAATTTCTTTCTACATTTCACACAGTTCATATTTTCTGTATTCTACAGTTTCTATCCTTTTGTATTTCACATGGGTTTTGTCTTTCTGTTGAAGTTTTAGTGTTATAGTTCTAGTGTAAATTAAATTTGTCGGTATAGAAGTTCGGTGCTCGACTCTTGTAGGTTCATCCATTGTTTTCTGGGAGACAAACGGTTAAACAAACCTCAAGTACTCAATGAGGGAATGAATCTGGTTTAAGGATACTATGTTTAAAGAGGCCTTGATTTGCAAATATGTTCCCTTTAACGATTATACATTTCTATAGTTTTATTTCATATTCATGTTCTTTTTGAAATAATAAACTGTTCAGTTAATAATTTTCTATTTGCACTTATTTTTCCCCTTTATCTATTCATATATTACTAGAACGTTATTTCAAGTTCTATAGGCCAATCTACAATTATACTTACTGCTTTATTTGTAACTGCAATTATACTTTCAGTTTATTCTTAATCAATATATGTAATTTTCATTCTGCAAATTAGTTTTCTAACAAAAATATATGTCGCGGTGTAAAACCAAAAGTTACTTGTTCGACCTTAAAATTACCTAGACAGGGATGAAAAGGTGAATAACACAGAATTAAAATTACCGATTAAAAGTAACAAGTCACTTTTTTATTGTTATGTTTAGTCAGTCAAGTTAATTTTATTCTATGTTGAATTGCCACAAAAACAAATAAAGCAGTAAATAAAAAGGAAAATTCTACTTATACATAATTATTGCACATATTGATATACATAATGTGATGTGGCAATCATCAGGTTGCTGATGTGCAAATGTGAGATTTGAATTAAAGGTTTGATTCAGTGTCACGTGTAATTATGGACACCATTATGTAGACAATTATGTACATGTAACACTTCCCAAATAAAAAAGGATTTGTTAACGGAGAAAATCTTTGATCAGATTAAAAACTCCGAGACCAAATCAGTAACTTCCACTATAGAAAATAAGAACTTACAGTATGATCTAACCTAAAAACCCACTAGACTCCTTGCTCTAATTCCTGTAATCTCAAGATCAGCTCGAACATGATTCAGTCACATCTACTCCCGAAGTTCTGGAATTGTTTATTTTCCGTAGATCACCAAGAACATATTGTTCTTGTACTCTTCCTATACTTTTGGTCCAAGCTCCCTCAATCTTCAGCAACCTTTGAGAGCTAGAAAGTACCTTCCTAATTATGTTTACAAAGTAGGTATTTTGGATTATATGATTCTGATATTTTTCTCAACTTGTGTTTGATTTATTTTGAGATGTAGAATTATTATTTGATCTCCAAATGATGTTATGAAAGTATAATATAATGATCAACCATCCTTTTTTCACAAAGTGAGGCTTGTGTATTTATAATAGAGAAGTATTGAGGTGGTACATGATAGATAGAACTCTTGAAAAATGCGAACTAGGGTTTCTCAAAAAATACCGACACTCGAGCACTGGGCTAGCACCAATCGAGCGAAAATCGAGCGATAGACGGATGACAATGATTCCGTTTTATACACTCGAGCATCAGCTTGGCAACAGGCTAACATAATTCCCGCGACTCTTTCTCCGTGTTCTATACTCATACCCAAAGACTCTTAGTTCATCTATAAATCCTTCCAACAAACTTCTTGACTTTTACAACTCTTTTATAATAATCATTTTGTTTAAAATATAACCAACACAATTAAAAGCAAACAAATAACAAATAACATTTTGTGATCCCAAGTAATTCACAATCATAAGAAAGGAGTATTTCAACTTCCATTGAAAGGGATGGTTAGACACCGGACGATAAGGATTCTGCAAATATCAAAGGGTTGTCCCATTTTTATATAGATTCCTGCAGCATTCTAAGCTGAATATTACTTATAAGGAGGTCCCTCCATCTTGCATGTAATTGCTAGTATCTCAAAGACTCAAACCCCGGGCTGTATTACTTAGTTTTATTATGGTTAGTTTACTATTCATTTCGTGTCCTGTCCAAAAATAATATAAACTTAATACTTGCAACAACTGGCAGGTGAAATAACAAAGAAGAATAGTCAATATATCATTGAAGAGCTGAAAACAATGAAAGGAACTTTTGGAATGTTGCTCAGAATATGATAAAGCACCATTTCGTTTAAAGTTAAACCCCAACTTTGAGGGTCCCCACTACTCAACTCCTAAAGCTTTGTGAGGGAGGTGAATCGCAGAAAGTGTCCCAACAGGTTAGGGAACAAGAGCTGCCTGTACACTGCGCTTACAAAGAGTATAATTCCATGTCTCAGGAATCGAACTCCCACACTACGGCTGCTAGCAATGCGTGAGATAACCTCACTCCTATCCTTTGCACCACTGGGCTATACCCTGGAGGCACCATTTCGAAGTCTAATTGTATAAATGTTTGAGTAAGTTTTTTTTTAAAAAAAAGCATAAGTTTATCCGAGTAAATAATCAATTTTTAAAATGATTCCTTTTTTTTTTTAATAAAATAAATTAACATGTACAAATATCATTTCGACATCTCAAAGACGCGACCTTTTTTTTCACTCTAATAATTAAATAGATAGTGATTTCCGATCTTGGTGCAGTGGTACACTTCCTAAGGGTTACTTTTGAAAGTAACTTTTCAAAATTAATCTGTACAAATATATTTAAAGTTTATGATAGAGTAAGTCCATGTGAACAACTCATGGTTCATAATTAGAATGTAGTCATTCGTTGAAGAAACAATTTCCTCCGCAAAAGGATGGTAGAATATCTGAGTATTTGTTCAAGGGAGTATGATTTCTTTGATTTGGCGTATCTATCTCAACCAGTGCGCCTGAGTCATCGAGGGGATCTAATCCCCATCAGCTACGTGAATTAATCCACTTGCTGATGATATTAAAAGAAATGAACAGGACTTCTTTATGTTCATTCTTTCTCTCTCTTCTTGAGACTTAAAACGATTTTCATTATATAAGTGACATGATATGAATTCAAATTTTTTGTCGAATCAATTCATTCAAGAGTTTTAAATGTTAGATGGGACTTTCTAGAACCAAGTCAATGTAGTTGATGCATAAACACAAGGAATGGACGAGTTTGTTTGACTTATAATGAGGCATGTTTGATGTAAATATTTTGAGAATAAATTTCATGAAAAGGGATTTTTTTTATAGGTTGTGTAGTTAAAAAAATAGGAAAATTTAAGAATCCACGTACAAAATTATTTTACTAAGAGAGCACGTGATTGAAAATGGTTTGGAAAAAAAAAAAAAATTCTTTAGAATACCTGCCAATAAGATATTTATTTAAATTCTATCTTCCAATAGTCCTAACTCATGTTGTGGCTCCTCGAATCACATCTTATATATGCCTCCCTTCGACAGATAAAATATATATTCTTTCAACTTGCACCTCCGAACCCAACCCACCCCCACAACTTTTCTTCCCTATATATATATAAGGAGTTTTTATAGAAATCTCCAACCAAAACCTTCGTCTTAACTTGTATTATTTTCTCTAATCTCCCTTTCCTCCTTTTTCGGATAGTTTTTTCGAGCTTTTGAATCTCTTCTTGCTCCGAGATAATCTAAATTTTGACTTGGTAAGTAATGACATCACGTTGTTCATCCTCCTGGACACATGGAGAAAACAAGCGATTCGAGGATGCTTTGGCAATGTATTCCGAGGACACTCCTGACCGGTTTCTTAAGATAGCCAGAGCAGTAGGGAGCAAAACAGTAGAGGAAGTAATGAGACACTATAAGGTCCTAGAGAAGGATATCTTCAAAATAGAAACTGATCAAATACCTTTGCCCAATTACGGAAACATATGCAACGGCAGAGGACAGAGGTAATGCATTGTCCCTCAAACGAAACATGATTCATTTTTCGTCACTTCATTCACTCATTGCATGTTCAGTATGCTAGATTGAACATCACTGTACAGGATTCAAAATAAGTTTTATACAGTTAGTGTTTTCCAGTACTGCAACCAAATGAGAAAATTAAATGAGAAAATTATTGATTAAGGTCCCTGATATAATCTATTCATGTCCATTAAAGATACTAAGATTTGAAGTTCCATCTTAAAAAGTCAACTTTATTAAGAGAAGTAGTACAATGCCTTATAAATTGGTCTATGTTTCATCTTTATTCAACGTGCGATTTTATCCCTTAACAAAAGAAATCTGATGAAATCTAATCCTATTCGTGTTAGATCAAACCATGTGCATCATGTTTGGCAAATCTTAAAAGTTAATTAAACTAGTTTTAAGTAAATTTTCATTTTCAAACGTGTTACACAAACACATACGACGATACATGAACTAAGATTTTTCACTACTGTAATAGCAAGTTAAACCTTTAAAACACTGTTAAGGATCATATGTATTCATTTGGAATTTCGTTTTTCAACTAGTGTATTCCTTGACCTAAATTTTTCTGTAACAGGCTTACGAGGAATCCTAAGCTACAGTGAGTACATTCATGGCAAATACCAAATTACCGTCTGACGATCTTTAAGAATGCAGTCGCATAAATGTAGTGTGTGGTACTGTATGTGTGGCTAGGTCTTATTGAGTGTAATGTACTTTTGTTTCAAAATGTATAATATAATTTGCACGTGCACCATGGTTTGACAGCCCTCGCAATTTTAAATTTTTTTATATAATGCTTGTTGGTATTCGATCTGAAAATTCATGTTGGATCATTTAACGGTTCACATTGAATTGGTCAGGAGAGAATTTTTTTTTTTTTTTTAAATCTAAATAGAATAAGAACAATACGAAAGATCAGCTCAAGGCCCCACCCATAAAGGTTGGACTATAGGAGATGTCATCTATAAGAATCTTCCATAATAGCAGATACAAAAGGTAAAACATCTGTCTTTCGAACGTTAAATGAGGATTCTTCCATATCTACTCAAGTTGTTGAGAATACACAAGCTCCTCAAGAATCTTCTCATAGATAATATACATCTTCTCGACTTGGAATTAAAACTTTTAATCCGAGTATTAAGCCTCGATGATCAAGAACAAGATGAAGAAATCAAAAGGTTTTCTCTTCTCAAAAGAGTTTGTCATCAAATTCATTTCACAAAAGGTCATTCAAGTACAAGCTTTGATAGACTTCCTCGCAAATCATCCAATTTCAACAGAATGGGGACATCACAAAGACGTTCAAAATGAAGAAGTTATGATTACATAAGTTATACCTTCATGTAGGCTATTCTTCGATGAGACAACTTGGAGTTATGGTCTCGGATTTGCTAACTACTCACCATGTATGCTCCTTACAGTAAACTTAGAAAGAAAAATTCAAGTGACGCTAATAGACATCTTTTGATTAGGAATCATAATTTTATAACAGGTCTTCCCTATCTCCAAATGATGCTTTATTTAATATATAGTAAAATTAACATCTAAAATATCAAGTTCATAAAGTTTCAACATCGCCAGATACATGATAATGAGATACCTCCCTCTCAATTTACTTAAATTATGACAATGTTAATGCTTGATACTATTCCCTTCAGCCCAAATGTTTTCTAATCAAATAGACTCGAATTATTGTCTTCATTCTTGGAAAGCTTCCTAACTCCTTAGGCAAGCCCTATGCAACACCGCTTCCCAAAGACTGCATTAGATATTGTAAAGGCAGGATCACAAGATATTAAATTTAAGAAACAAGAAAACCTTAATCGAACAGAAATAAAAATGCAGGAAATTAAAAAATGAACACAAAGGAATTATTTCGGCCTAAGCCCTGGAGGTTCGACTACCGCTGCTAATGCCTATATCCCCCGTTGAGCATACAAAGATTTGGGTTATGCTCGGTTGCACTAAACAGCCAAAATGGCAACAAGGATTACAGATTGTTCAGAGAGATGAAAATGAGACTTATTTCTCAAGAATAGTGATGGATTTGCAGAGATTCACTTAAATCTTAGCTCTCAAACTCTTCGAATATCACCACGAAGTTACAACAAAGAAATCACTCAGATTTCTTCATTATCCACACAGAATATTACAAATCGAAGGAAGATCTCACTATTCTATACATAAAATCAGAGATTTAAGCATGAAACGCTATAGAAAAGATTATCTCTCTCAAATTGCCATTTTTCTCTCTCTGAAAACCCTAGAGACGAAATGAACCAAGAGTGAAAAGTTAGGCATTCCAGAAGACTCTGGATTTTTAAAGAAGGGCAGATGAACCGGCTCCATCCAACATCCAAAATTAATCCACGTGTTAGTCATCCAATTAAGTTGTCACCACTTATTAAGTCGTGCTTCATATAAACACAATTTTGCCAAGATTTAAATTCTGAAAGCACTAAATGTAGAGAACAAGATTCGACTCCAACGACTATTAGTACATCCAGAAGCATGATCTTATGTCTCTTTCATTTGCTCCAAGTACTTGTACATGTATTCACAAAGAATCAACGGATAAAACTTTCAAGCAGTTTAAAAATTTATTTAAAGGAATCACTTTAGTCCCTACATCCGAAGGATTAAACTGACTACAAATTTTTTCAATCTTAATATCACCTTTTTGAAATTATATCTCTTATAAAGTGATACTTAACATCAATATGTTTTGAGCTATCATGAAACATAAGATTTTTACTAAGGTGAATTGCACTTTGATTATCAGAAAATAACACAGTATGATTATCTTCAAAACCCATTTCATACAGTAAACCATTCAACCAAATCCCCTCTTTAATAGCATCAGTTGCAGCTATGTATTTTGCCTCAGTTGAGGATAGAGCCACAACTTTCCGAAGTTGAGATTTCCAACTAATGACAGTAACACACGGTGTATAAAAATAAGATAAGGTTGATTTTTTATTATCTCTATTGCCAGCAAAATCAGAGTTAGTATACCCTTTCAAACTTATCCCATTTTTATCTGATTTAAACATTAAGCCTAAATTTGATGATCTCTTAAGATATCTTAATAACCACTTCAAAGCATGTCAGTGTTCTTCACCAGGATTACTTATAAATCTACTTAAAATGTTAATACTATATGCAATATCAGGTTTGGTGCATATCATCAAATACATCACAGAACCAATCACATTAGCATATGGAATTTTTGACATTCTAGCATATTCATCTTCAAATTTAGGACAGAATTTAGAAGACAACCTAAAATGACTAGCAAGAGACAATGTCACAAGCTTACAATCATACATGTTGAATTTTTTTCAAGATTTTAGACATATAATCACATTGATTCAAAAACGACATATCTTTATCCTTACTTCTCCAAATCTGCATGCCCAATATTCTTTTAGCAACACCAAGATCTTTCATATCAAACTCAGAATTTAACTTTGATTTAATATCATCAATTTCTGATTTATCAGAATTTAATTTTGATTTAACATCATCAATTTCTGATTTATCAGAACTAACCAACAACATTTCATCCACATAAAGGACCAGATATAATGAGTTTTTAACTCAATTACCTTCGCAGTTCAAGCAAGTATCATATTGGCTTCTTTTAAATCCAAGTTTTAGGACAAAAGTGTCAAACCTTTTGTACCACTGCTTAGGTGCTTGCTTTAGGTCATACAAGGATTTCTTTAACAAATAAACAGTGTTTTCAGGATCACCTTTCTCAAAACCAACATGTTGTTTCATGTATATTGTTTTATCTAATTCCTCATACATGAAAGCAGTCTTAACATCAAGTTGATCAAGTTCCCACTTAAATTGTGTAATAAGTGCAAGCAAACATCTAATGGTGACATACTTAGCAATAGGAGAAAAAGTTTCAGTATAATCCACACCATATTTTTGTGTGAAACCCTTTGCTACAAGTCTAGCTTTGTATCTAACATTTTTATTGTCACCTTTCCCGAATTTTATCTTATAAATCCACTTGCAATCAATTATTTTTTGTCCTTTGGGCTTGTCAACTAAAATCTATGTTTTATTTTTAAGAAGTGAAAACATTTCATCTTCCATGGCCATCTTCCACTTTGTGCTTTCTTTACATTTTATGGCTTCTTCAAAAGAATTTGGCTTATTTTCTTTTGAAGAATGAGGTCTTGGTAGGTAAATAAAGATACAAAGATGTCACAATCAAATCTGGTGGAGAATCTAATTTGCCTCATTTCCCTATCTCTTGTGAGTTGATACTCATCAAAGGGAAGAGCTGCAGAATCAGCCACTTCAACATGTTCAATTTCAATTTTAGTTTTAGGTAAAATAACATGTTTTTCATTTTCATTTTCCTCTGCAGTAGACACAGAAATGTTCTGGTTACTGTAGGAATGCTCTACCTCAAATTGAACATCTTTTTCAGTCAAAACATTCTCTTTTCCTTCCAAGACATGGCATCAAGGATTCATTATATATTACGTCCTTTCTAATTATTACCCGATAGCCTTTTTTAGATTTAACCCATAGTCTATACCCTTTAACATGTTCATCATAACCCAAGAAGACACAATTTAATGATCTTGGTTCTAATTTACCAACATTTTGATGAGTATAAACAACACAGCCAAATACTTCCAGATAAGAGTAATTTACAGAACTATTTGACCACACAGATTCAAAAACAACAAAGTTTAAAACACTAGCAGGACTCCTATTAATCAAATAAGCTGCAGTCTTAACTGCTTCACCCCAAAAAATCTTAGGCAGTCCAGAACTTAAAAGCATACATCTAACTTTATTCAACACAATTCTATTCATTCTTTCAACCATTCCATTTTGTTGTGGTGTGTTTAGAACAATTTGGTGTCTCATGATGCCATATTCTTTACAAAGATTATCAAATTCATGATTGCAAAATTTCAAACCATTATCAGTTCTTAAATATTTTATTTTAAGATCAAACTGATTCTCAACATGAGTTTTCCAGTTCTTAAAAAAAGAAAATGTCTCATCTTTTGACTTTAATAGATGAACCCAGATTTTCCTTGAAAAATCATCAACTATTAGCAAAAAATATTTGAAACCAGTCAAGGTAGATACAGAAGCAGGACCCCACAAATCAGCATACAGATACTCAAGTTTTTGTTTGGATTTATGAATTCCAGTTTGAAGAGGAAGTTTAACTTGTTTTCCTAAAATACAGTGTTCACAGGAGCCAAAGTCACTAAGATTATGTTTTCTAAAAACACTTTTTGATTGCAGGATATTCAAACCATTTTTACCAATATGACCAAGCCTTTCATGCCACAATTTAGCCAAAGTGAATTTTTCAGACACAACAGAAGCAGTTAATCCAAGTAAAGGTTTTGCATACAGGCAATAAAGGCCATGTCTCTTAGGGGTAGAAGTGACCAAGTCATTTTCCTTAGGAATTTTTATATGTCCTTGACCCATAATTATGTTAAACTCCTTGTCATCTAATATTCCTAAGGACACTAAGTTTCTTTTCAAATTTGAGACATATCTTGTGTTCTCAAGGAACAAAACATTACCATTTTCTAATAATAATTTGACAGTATCAATTCCACTCACCTTACATGCAAAATTATTGTCCATTATAACACGTCCCCTTTAGTTTTTTCTAGATTTGTAAAACAATTTTCGTTGGGGCACATGTGAAAGGAGCGGCTTGAGCCAAGTATCCATTCATCACTTAGACATTTTTCAGCACTTACTA